GAAAAGAATTCCAGGAGAGTTTGCCGAACAAATTATGAGGAGAAATCTAAGGAATTCGTGAGGGGAAATACAAATTAATTATTAGGAGACTTTCAATGTGAGTAGAATTCCAAGGGAAGCAGTGAGATTCAAAAGGAAATCTGAAAGAAATTCAATGAAAATGCTTAGCATATTTTCAAAGGGAGGAAAATTTCAACGTAATTTTGAGGAAGATTCAAACAAAATTGAATTCAGAGGATAGTTCCAACGAAATATTTAGGAACATTTCAATGAAATTGCGAGAAGTATTCTAAGTATATTCTGGGGACATTTTTTGGTGAATTCAAAGAAGCGGTTCAAGTGAATTTCTAGAATAATTTCATGGGAGGAGAATACAAAGCGAATGCTTTGGAGTTGTTTAAACTGTCCTACACTTGTTCGGATTTCCTTAAGTTTCCTCAATTTTCCTAACGATCATGGAGCTTCTCTAAAGATTTCAAAATTCGCTGAAGTTCTCGAAACTTCTTTAAAATTTATGAAATTTCATGAGAAGCTAAAAATGTTTAAGCTTCCGTGAACTTCTGAACTAATGTGAAGGCCTCAATAATTTTGTTAACGTCTTTGAAGTTCTCTCGAATCTGGCAACTTCTTAAAATCTCCCTCTATTTTTCTGAAACTGATAAAACAAATCTCCCCCTGAAATTCCCTCAATTGTTGGAGCTTTCAAAACTTCTTTCAAAAGCTTCCATATCTTGTGATGATGTTCATGAATGGTCCTGAAGTTTTGGATCTTCCCTTCTTTGAAGTTCTTGAAATGTTTCTAAAGATCTCTGCGCTTCTCTGAAGATTTTATTTTTTTTTTCTGAAATTTCTGGAGCTTCTTTCAGCTCCCGCAATTTTCTTGGGTTATCCCGAAATAATTTATACAGCTCTATGATTTTCACTAAAGTTATCAAGATCTTTCTGAAGTTCATGGTATTGCCCTTACAATATGGGAACTAATTCATAACTTCTCCTGATGTTATTAAAACTACCCAAAACATTTCTAAATGTCCATTAAGTTCTAAAGGCTCCCCTGAATTTCTCAGTATTTTTATAAGAACCCGCAGATTTACTGAAATTAATTGAATTGCCTTGAAGTTTTTTTTTTTCGAGAGTTGACCAACTACAGTCTTAATAGGCTAGCATCTCGGTTGGGCTCTCAATGCGATACCCAATACTAACAGACAACTCAAGCTATGGTGCTCACTAGGTCACTGCAGCTTTTAGGCTCGTATTGTGATAAAATATGTGTATTACTTCCTTTGGTTTGTTTTTTTCCGTCGATCTTGTTTTCCGTGCTGAGCACCAATGCTACCGACGTGCCAGGAAGACAGCTCCCACACCTGGACCCTACCTATCGACCCATCAACTCATGAACCGGGGACCAACGGCTTTACTTCCCATCCGAAGGAAGGCGTGATCAGAGATGTTATGCCTCAGAACATCCCGGCGGCGCCGACTGGGATTGTACCCAGGCCTGCTGGGGTGAGAGGTAATCACGCTTACCACTACACCACCGGCGCCGTTAAAATATGTGTATTAGATTACGACCATAAATCTGGAGAACCCTGAGATCTGGGCGCAATCGCCCCTGCAAACAAACACGTCAATCGCCGGTCTCCCGCGAACAAAAGAACAATCCTTGAGCAGCAAAAAACAAAAAAAAAAAAGAACAATCCTGCAAACAAACTATACCAAATAATAGAGGAACTATTCATCTACCTGTTTGTGTTATAAGTTTTCCAAACTGAGCCCCAATTAACCACTTCATTCGAGCAGTTAAAATGACGTTTAATACCACTCGAACTTTGAAATAAAACATTAGCCAACATTTGTGCGTTTGATAGAAAAATAGAAATTAGTTGGTCCAGTTTTGTGAAATCGCTGGTAGAAAGTCACGCTAAAACTGCTTGACAAAGTGGTCAATCCGCGAGAAACCGACAAATAACGTGCCTATCTACAAAAGCAACTACGCTTCAACCTCGAAGCTCTCCGGAAATATGTGATAAATCATGTAAATGCAAATGGAATACAGTAATGTCCCGATTTTGTCAGCCCCATTTTTTGAAAATGTTTTCCAATGTTCTACAAAACCCATGCCCTTTTTCAGTAATCTTCTTGAACCTATTACACCAAAGTATACTTTAAATATCCCTCTTAACGATGAATGAGAAAAATTAGATTTATGGGTATGTGAAATTATTGAAAGAAAAATGTCTGAAGCGCGGAGGGGCTGACAAAATCGGGTCATTACTGTATTTAAAATAAATAAATTCATTCTTACCTTTTTATGGTTGTTTGATTATTAATTGCTATTATTACCTGCTTAGAGTTGGCTCCTTTAAAATACTGTGGAGAGTTTACCTCATTATTCCTCAACTCCATCGATTTTCGTTCCTGCGTGGTTTTTGTGATATAACCACTCTCGGTATATTACTCTGTAGTACGACTTGGGCGTGCACCATGCAAGTAACTCATCTCTCGTCAAGATGATGGGATATGGGGTGATGGTGAAGGGATATAGAAAATGAATAAAAGAACAGAGATAAAGGTATTAGTGTTGGTTACATTAACCCCCCCCCCCCCCACACACACACACACACACACACACACACACACACACACACACACACACACACACACACACACACACACACACACACACACAACGAAAACGAAACATAGATGCACAGACAAACAGAAATAACACATTTAAAATATCTCTACACAAAGCATAGTCACTAAAACACTACCGTCCATCATGTGATGGATAGTACACTGAACAGATGGCACTAGTGTGCAGACGTCAAACGCAAGGGAACCGACCGTGCGCGCCACAGGTGGCGGCACCACCAACCAAAAACACTCAAATTGACCTTCAAATGCGTGTTCGATGAACAACCTGCGAGTGTTATGTCTGTTTGCCTATGATAGGTTGGTCATTAGAAAAGTACAACTACATTATAACTATTAGTGCAATGGATAAACGTTAGTTTCGGGGTCATGTTAGTATTATAGTTTTGTTAGTATTGACCCGTATTCAGCCCTGTCGGCCCCTCGAACACTAGTCGCAGGCAGTTGTTGTTAGGACATGCGACACTGCCACTGCTACTATGTTAGAGGTAGGTTAGAGGTAGGTCAAGTTTCGAAGTGCAAAAAAACTGTTAGAACTTACTTATAAATTAACTTTACACTCAAAGCAAACTTTTTACCTTAGCAGTACAAAATAGAATTTAAAATTACTATTTTATTAAAATTATGATAAAACTACAATTTACGGCTCCGTGAAATTAACTCGTTTGAACCGTTCAAATCAATGAACTGGAGACAAACTACAATTTTAACAAATTACAAAAAATACATAGCGACACTTGACAAATCATCATCAAGCCCCTCATCCTTGGACAGGGAATTGAATTACCTTGAAATTTCCACAATTTTCCTTAAGTTTTATAAATTCACAGAACTTTGCTTTAAATCAATAATTTTTCCTTTTAACTTTTCTAAGCTAACCTGAAGTTCTCTAGATTAGTTTAATGTTTCGGTGAATTTTCTGATATATAAATATTCATGATTCCCTGACGCTTCTGAAGTTTTCGGATCGATCATAGAATTCTCTGAATATCCTAATTCGCTGGAATTTCTTGAAAATATCGGTGGCTGCTTAAACTTCTCGCATTTTTTTTTAAATTAATGGAACATTGTTGGAGACTCAATGAAGGTCTTGAAATTTCCATGTTATAACACCCTTAAAATACTCTCACATATTCTGCATGTTCATATTATTTTATTGCGCCCCAGAAATTCTCTCGGAGCTTTGTTGAAGTTTCCGGAAATTCCCTGAGTTTCTCGAAACTTCTTTAAGGTCTCTGAAATTTCCTATGAATATTTGAAGTGCCCTTTGGTTCTCTGATCTGTCTTGATGTTCTTGTAGTTTTCATAAAGCTCTCAATTCTATTAAAGATCTCAGTTCTGCTCTGAAATTCTCTGAAGGTCTCTGCACATCCCTGAAATTCTCGGAACATCTTAAGGGTTCTCGTTTTTTTTTTCAGCACATCATGGAGCTATCCTGAATTATTCTAACGCACGCTTATAAATCATTAAACTGCTCCAAAAGTCTGGACTAAAGTTACGGGAACTGTCCTTAAGATCTCAGAAATTCCCCCAAAGATCCATGGATCTAACTTTTCTGAGGTACTTAGAACTACTTAGAAGATTGCACAATTTTCCTCAAGTTCTCTTGACACCGGTGAAGTTCTCTGAAATTCTATGAACTTCTAAAAAGTTCATGCAGTTTGGCGGAAGCTAATAGAACTGCTTTGAGGATCTTAAAGCTTCCAATAAGTTTCCAATGTTAACATCCCTTATGATCTCGCAGTTTGTTTATGAAGCTTCACTGAAATTCTCAGCATTTCCTTTCATCCCTCAGAGTGGAAGGAAGTTCTGACGAAATTTTCAGAAATTTGTTAAAACGAAGGGTTTAAATCTTAAATAAAATAATTTAGTTTATGAATAATCCCTGAAAGCCAATCTGAAATAATTGATGGATGTTTTTTGAGTGAGTATTTTAAAACATCTTCATAATTGGTCAACATACCCTATCCGTTTGGTTCTCCATTAGAAACCCTCCAGCAAGCAACATCCACTAATAACCGAAATCGGATTTGTCTGATTTCAATTATCATCGGATCGGAAGCATTGCGGTTATTTTTCTTTCCACTTTTCAGCGTAGTACCGCTTGAGTGATTTTCCCCGGATGACAACCCTTTCCAATCAACAGCCGTTGCTTACAATTTCTATTGCCTATAAATCCAATCTCAATGGGATCGAACTTTATCAATTGTAATTTTGTCGTCAATCCGAGATGAGAGTGCTTCCGTCGTCACCATCGGATAAGTATCGATTGAGCGCACCCAACCCACCCGCATGTTCCAAGGTTGTGTGCCGAAGTGCTAATTAGAGCACCAGAAGGCTCAATTATGGTCCTATTAGCGAGCCGCTTGGACGCCGGCGGTAGCATCCTGGTCGTTGTAGCGGCAGCTCTAGTGGTTGCATTTTGGCACACGTCCGCGGTGGTGAGTGGAGATTACCCGCGTGACGTCGAGTTGATTGAACCAGTTACAGAAGCAGCAGGAACAACAACAACAACAATGGCAACGACGACGACCATGACGAAGAAGCATCGGCGAGGCAGCTACAACAATGCATTCCGCCACTCGGTAAGCTACTATCCAAGCTACGTGAAAGGTGAAGACCCGGTCGAGGAGTATAATCGCCGGAGGTTGCATGTGGACACGTCCGACTATGTGAAGAGCGCTGAGCTAGCGTTTTCCGATGACGAAAGAAGGAAGTTGTTGGAGGAAAGTTTACACTCGATTCGCCTAAAGTATGCCAAACAAAGTGATGGAAACGAAAACAAGAAAAAAGATAAGATGGTTACGAGTGGGAAGAGTTCTAAAAAATCTAAGAAGCGACGAAAAGTTAGGGATCCTATTAAAAGAAGGTGGAGTGGTGAATCGGTTGGGGTTGCTAACGGAAGTGACTTGCATGCGCTGGCGGCAATGGCTTATCCGAAGCGATATGAAGAATCCGATCCTGATGTGTTTTCTTACGAACGGTCAACGGACGACAATCGAAGGGAGGGTGGTAGTTTGCCCAAGGACACGAAATATTTTCAGTGAGTATTTTCTTGTATTAAAATGACAGTTGATTTGATAGTTTTTCACGCAGGAAAAAGAAGTTTGTAGATCTTGAGCCATGGTTTGATTATACATCTTCTTTTTTATCGTGGCTGGAACTTTATACCTACTATCAACAATTTATGCATTTTTACATCCTAAATTGTCGATTGGTGGAACACTCCGCCCTATTATATTGACAAAAACGGACGTTACTTGCGAAACGAGAAGTAACGCTCTAGTATATGGAGGAAAACGCTCCATCACTCGTTGAGTTTTAAATCAACAAGAAAGAATGAAAAAATTTACTACTTTTCAGAATCAATTTAAAAAAATAAATAATGTATCCCTATAAATTTGAGATAGAGTAGACGTACTAGTGGCAATACGTTTATATTATGATGTGTTTTTATGGCATATGAGATTCCTATATGACATAAAAGGGAACACACCTGAATGGGAACGTATAGCCATGATTGGTACACAACCCTTATTAAAAAATTCTTTTGCTTTACGTACAGTGTAATAACAGCAGTTTTGTTCAAAAAGTCCAATTTCGACAAAAAAATTGCTAACTTTTGTAGGGACACCTACTGCGAACAAAAATCGCCCCTGGAATTGGAATTTGGCCACCTATACGAGACTCACGATGGCTGGGAGGAAAGATACGAAAGGCAGGACCACAAGAAACACAGACATCAGGGAAAAGTGAATCAGTTTTTCGTTTTACCCTTTCACAAAGCTCATATCACCTCCTATTCTCACATTCAAACTGTTAATTTCTGCAACATTAATTTGCATGTTCTGCACGCTTTTTTCTACTGCTACTAGGTATTTTAACTTCTTTGGTGATGGGTCTTACAATGCGGGACTGAAACGTGGCACCGATCGGCACTACATAGAACAGCACGAACGAGGCTCTAAAGGTGCAGGGATCTTCCAAAAGCGGGTACTAAACTACAAAAACCAATTACGCTTCCAAACCAGTTCAGTAATGTTTCAATCTGCTTTCAATTCAGGTAAAATGGGCCGATAAGAACGGAGGCTTCGGTGAGCACTACTGGGACTTCAACCACGTCTGATCCACCACGTCCGGAGCGCAACTAGGCAAATAATAAGTTTTTTTTTTTATGTTCAACAATCAATCGGCGAACGGCACTCCAGCATCAATAAAGCCAGCGTCTATAAGGCTAATCTTGATAGATGTTGAGTAAATGTCAAGAGCGCCTGATTTTGCTGTCTGACAACGGAGCCGAGTGCCGAGAGAAAGGAGAAGGGTACCGCTGTGTCTGTTTAGAATCGGTATCGCTGCGGGGGATTTTTGGACTCACCACAATGCAAATCGCAACGAATGGCATCTAACTAGGCGCGTGCCCACGGGTAGGTATTGCTACATACAATTATCTGCGGTCAACTGCAGTGTGAAGTTCGTGTTGCGTGATTGGTAGCACTCCCACTATCCGTCCGAAAGACCTTGGCGACCTTTCGCGTGAGCCGTTTCGGTGTGTCACTTTTTATTTTTGGAATTCATAATTCAGATTCGAACATTTGCGCAATAGATGGGAACGCCAATGTTTATAACAATAGATGTATATTTCACAGTAAGTTATATGGTGTGCAATAAATAAATTCAAGATTCTCAATAGAAAACGATGAATAATCAGCATTAGCATTTAAGCAGGCTTTTAGTTAGTTGAAGATGCTAAGTTCCGTTAGAGTACGGCAGTGTGAAAATTGCATATAGAGAGTAGAAAGCGAGCAAGGACAACTTTAGGAAGGTACAAATCGGTTTGATCATCTCTCTTTACCAAAACTCCTCCTCACCATCCCTCTCTAACGGGGAAATTTTGTAAAGAGAGATGATCAAACCGATTTGTACCTTCCTAAAGTTGTCCTTGCTCGCGTTCTACTCTCTATATGCAATTTTCACACTGCCGTACTCTAACGGAACTATCAATTCTATACTTTTATCTCCTCATCTATCGTATAAAAATTACCACTTTAGTCTGTCATTTGAAATTATCATCTTCAACTATGTAAAAATCGTTGACTTCACGCAGAAGTAATACCAAACGTAGGCTTTTAGTATATTTATATAGCTAATATTATGCTTCACGGGCCTGCATAAATCAATGGTCATACAAATCATGCAAAAATATATAAGACATACAATGATTTCAATGAATACTACCATTATTGATATATCAAAATAGCGTTTTACGAGGCGAAATGATAACTTTTCATTGATAATATCGAAATAACTTTAACTAATAAGAAATGTGACACACTACTGGGATTAATATCAATATATATTTAGCATAAGCGTGGCTAATGAGGATACTAGCCCACAGCAGAATATTTCAAGACCCCTTAGAATATTACGAGGCTCATAGCTTCTGGACTACACATTCTTCATGATATTAGACTTAATCAAAAAAGTGACTTTAAAACAATACATAAGTGACCAATAATTATTAATCGAATATGAATCCAATGTTTCGTTGATTGCGACCCACTTTGAGAAATATTATAAACTCACAAGGCTTCTATAAAACGACATTCATAAAACTTTGGTCAAGATAGCTTTGCCTTTATTACATCCACCAAAACCTCATTAAGACTAGAATCTGTCTAGTTGGCCCACCCTGAAGAAGGTTCTAAAGACTGCATTATCGAGACATTTCAAACATGACTTGCTGTAACAAGGTTATATGACGAATACATTGAGAACCATTTGAAATCCTTATTAAAAGTACAATAAATATATTTTGGTCTATTTTTAGGTGACAGATTAAATCTCATGTGAAATGTGCTTCGGAAAATCGGAAAAAATAAGTCCGCCTTCGGAAAACGTTGATTTGACCAATTATTTTTAATTTAGGAAACAAAATATAGTTACATGTTATGTTTATCATTGCTCACAGCCGAGACAATTTGATGATTTTCGTAATTTCTATTACTGCTCATTGATGAATTGATGAGAATAAAGTTATTTTAAAGGAAAAACATCTTGAAACACGAAGATTATAAAAAAGCAAATGGAATAATAACAATATGGCGAGAGCATAAACATTAATTTTCCATAAGCCATTTGTGAAAAAGCTGTTTTGCTTTCATGAAATCGCAAACAAATGCAAACCATTTTAATGCGGCTTTTATGAAGATAATTTGCAGACTGAATTGTTTTTATCTGAAGCCATTTTGCTTGATCCTATTTCGTTTAGTTTTATGACGGCATTAATGGTGGCAAAGTTGCTTGCAAAAAGTTAAACGTCTAAATTTATTTATCTTTCGATTCTTCTATTGGAAGCAGTTACTCAGGAAGTGAGTCTACGTAACTTAGAACAGGTGGAAGCTCAATCGTTCCCGAAAAGTTTTCCTTTTTCCGTATGAGTTAACTGCAGGGCTGGTAGCGATCACTGCTGTCAAAAATAGTGATTTTAGTGACCATGTTGTAGAAGTGACCAAATAGTTACTTATAGTTGTAAAAATAAAGACTAAAAAGTGACCTGAGAGAAAATAAATGTTTGATGTTTTAGACTTATTGAACAAATATCTCATATACACTTATGTACGATATGAACCTTTAAAACGAAAGATTCAATAGAATGTTTATGCCCAAACCCACGGTATTAGCAACAATCAATATGAAACTAACGATTTTAAATTGGTTCACTACTTGACTAGCCTATTGGTCCCAAGCAAACGATTAAGGTACCCCATTATAGACGAAATTCTAGTACTACGCAATGTTTGTTTTGATTCGCTATGAAAGTTTGACAGATAAAATGTGGGGTTAGTGGATTTTCCTATGTTTCGAGGGGTGAATCGATTAGCTTGGGACCGAAGAGAGTACCAGAGCTGAGCCAAAAAGTTGAACACGTTATTTCGGGACCTTCTAGTCTTAGAGTACCCTCTACGGTATTAGTCAGGGTGTCTACTAACTGTAAAAATCTGGAAAACCTGGAATCCTCAGAAGTTTTTTTTTCCTTAAAATACCTGGAAGGCTCAGAGAATTTAATAATTTTCTTACTAAGGATATTTAAAGAACAAAATGAATTTTAAAATATAAGCATTTAATGTTTCTCGTTATTTACATTCACACTTTGAACTTTATAGATCCACAGTGAACAGTAACAAATAAATTTAAAAAAAAAGAGGCTTGAAAAGTTCTCGACTTAAAAGCTATAATACTTCAAGAAATTTTCAAGAATCTGGAGTAAAAATCCATGCACAGTTTTAAAAGCTCGTGGAATTTTATTATAATTTCGAAGGACGTTCTGGGAAAAAATCTTTCAGAAAAACATCAAATGCAATCTGCTTTTAAGGTTTCTTGTGAAACCAGAAAGTTTTGAGTAAAATGAAAATTTTAATGAAAACTCTGAAAATTTCTGAGGAGCACGATCCTTCAGAGCAAAATTCCAAGGGCCTTCTGAGGATAATTTTTATAAAGTTGTGGAAGGAAACGAATCCGGAGCATAAGTCCTTGGAAGTTTTTTGAAAATACTAAAAAGAGGATTACAATTAAATTTGAGAATAACTCCAGAACATTTTCAAAGGAATTCGGAAAATAAATTCAGGAGGTTTTGCCAAACAAATTATGAGAAGAAATCTAAGGAATTTGAGAGGAGAAATGCCACTGAATCCCTAGGAGACTTTCAATGTGAGTAGAATTCCAAGGGAACGAGTGAGATTCAAAAAGGGATTCTGAAATGAATTCAATTAATATTCGGAGAATTTTTCCAAAGGTTTTCTTATTGTGGAAAATTTTAATGTAATTTCGAGGAAAACTAAAAAAAAAAATTGAACTAGCAGGATAGCTTTATTGAAATGTTGAGGAATATTTCAATGGAAATCAGAACTACTTTGAAGTTCCCAATTTTTTCCCGAAGTTAATGAAACTGCCTTGAAATTCTTTTGTAGTTTGAGAAACTAGCCGGATGCTCACAATACTTCTCATCAAATTCTTAAACTTCCCTGAACTTTATTGGACTTCCAAAAGTTTCCTCAATGTTTCTAACGTTGCCTTGAAGTTTCGACAATTTTCCTTAAGTATAATAACTATTATAAACGCTCACTTATTTTCTCTGAATTTATCTATGGTTACCTGAACTTCTCTAAATTTGTTTAATAATCCGGCAAATTTTCCCTGACGCTTCTGACGTTTTCGGATCAATCATAAAATTCATGGAATACCCCATAATTCCACGGAACTCCTTGTAAGTCTCTGCAAAATTGCTTAAGTTCATGGGATTATTCTGAAGCTATCTGATCACCCTTGAAATACTCGGAACTTCGCTGAATATCATGAAACTATCTAAAAGTATCTAAATTTACAATAAGTTCTCTGGAATTGCTTGAAAATATCACTGATTGTTAAAAGTTCTCGTTTTTTTTAAATTAATGGAACTTCTTTGATTTTCTCTAATCAATTCAGCTAAATTTTCGCATTTTTTAAGTTCTTGAAATCTCCCTAGTATAACACTTTAACACATAGTGACTTTAGTGACTTGGCCTTAAAAAAAGATACTTTTTAGTGACTGGCTTGAAAAAAGTGACCAAGTCACTAAAAAGTGACTCGCTACCAGCCCTGTAACTGTCAGCAGTTTTCCGTAGTCCCAGTTTGGCACTAATGCTATTCGGATCATCATTGCCACGTTATTTCTGTAGAAGGCTGCCATTGGCAATATGCTGTGTATTCCCATCAATTTTAAGCGTCTAATTTGACGGCTTCCAGTGCTTCGTAAACCGCATTCACTTCGCTCCTCTCAGTCGGCTGCTCTGTTGTTGTTGACCGATTTGGTCGGAGCTGCCCTCCCAGAAAGTTCTGGAATTGGATTCCTTTTCTCTTCCGCCGATAGCATTGCTAGAACTCTCGATGAACATTTCAAATGGTCCTATCTGATTTGATCGATTCTCTTCATTGACTTTCTCTTTTCATAACCACTGCTATGCAAACAGATTTCGCGCCAATTCTACCACATAGTTTGATAAAGGAGGTTCTTATCTAGCGTCCAAAACGTCAAATACAACAGGGAAAGATTTTACAGCTGATTTATGGACGAAAGAGAAAGTCGATGAAGAGAAGCGATCAATGCAGATAGGACCTTTTGAAATGTTTATCTAGAACTATTACTCGATTATCCTTTGGCGTTTTCTTGTGACTCTACGTATGAAAGCCCCAGTCGATTATGTTTTAATTGTATCTAGGCGGATCGATCTTTTTAGTTTTATTTGTAAACAGTGGGAGGTTTTGTGATACACTTCATTAACACCAAAACGCATCAATATATGCTTTTTGATTCCGTTTGAAACCGAACGGTTTCATAATTGCTTTTATAATGATGAACACCTTTACAGCTATTTGTCGTGACATCAATAAAACTAATACCAATGGATTTACTGAACAGTTTTATTAAGGGGTAGATTCAATTTATTCAATTAAATTCATTTTTAAAACCAGACACTTTCTGATTTTCTCGTCAGACTTTAAAAGGTTTTTAAACCAGCATAAATCCGAACTACTAATCATGAATGTTTTGCACTGTTAAATGCTGTATTTAAACTTAAAAGATTGCTTATTGCCGTTATAAAACCACAGTAAATCAGAGTGAAAGTCAAAAGGCTGTTAAATTGTTACTTGGGATGACCATTTTTCCAGCTTCTTAAAGATAAAACAAATTCGAAAAATTAGGTCGTTTTAGATCGTATTCTAAGAAAAATCTCACTACACTGAAGTCTTTTTTTACACGTTTTTTTTACGCGGTTTTTTTTACACGGTTTTTCGCGATTTACAAGACACGTTTTTAACGATTTCTCGACAACGATACAACATTATCCGTTTCAAGCTATAGGTAATCGAACTGCATACTTAAAAAAGAATCACAATTTATGGTGTAAATACAGATTTTTTTTTTAAATATGTCTATATGGACCATAGCATGCTTTAATTACAAATGGCATCAAAATCCGATTTTTTTTAAACATTTAAATATGTGAAAAATCAAAATCTCGTAGGTTTTTTTATACGGTTTTTTTTTACACGGTACGTATCCCCCGTGTAAAAAAAACACCTTAGTGTATTCTGGAACGGAAAAAATATTCCCACTTAAAAAGATCACGACATAGAACATTTTACATGCGTTTATGATTTATAATCTCGATCTTGAAACAAGTTTTAAGATTCTGGGATAAATTTTAGAGATATTGGATATTTTTTTAAATGCTGGAAACTAGAAATTCACGATCTCTAAAATAAACCTAAAAAGACTGGAATAATTTTCGAAATGTAAGAATGTAAGTTCCTATAAAAACTTAAATGCTTCTGAAACATAGAAAAGATCTCATGATCTTGAACATAGAAATTTTTGAAAAATCTTAGCGTGGAAATTTTATTCATTCCGGCCTTTAAAAAACAATTTGATGAACTTAGAGAAGAACCCAAGATTCTGCTACATGATTTTTAAATTTTTGAACAGCTACTAAAGCTATCGGGTCTCAAAGATTTTTTCAAAATTCAGATATTTGAAATCACTAGATTTTGAAAGGTAACTGTCCGTGAGATCCAGGAAACCCTTCAACGATCAGTTTCCGGTCGAACTGTTCGTCGCCGTCTCGTAGCACAGCGGTTGAATAGCAAAGTTGCCCGGAAGCGCCCATTTATCAGCCAAACGGCTTAACTTTGCTAAGAAGCATGCTGATAAGCCTCTAGAGTTCTGGAAAACGGTACTCTGGGCGAACGAATTAAAATTCGAGCTGTTTAACCGAAAGCGGCGGGTTCGTTTGTGGTGAAGATCGAGTGAGGAGCTTCAGGAGCGCCACATCTAAGGCGCGGTGAAGCATGGAGGAGAAAATTTGATGGTCTGGGGTGGACTGGGAAGCCTCGTGAAAATCGACGGGATAATGACGGCAGATTCCTACATCAACATCCTGCGGGAAAATCTGGAGGTTTTGCTGATCCAGACGGGCGTTGAAGAGAAGTTCGTATTTCAGCAGGACAACGACCGAAACATACTGCCAAGAAGACCAAGTCTTTCTTCCGGTCTTATCGGATCAAACCGCTAGAATGGCCTCCACAAAGCCCGGACCTCAACCCCATCGAGAATTTGTGGGTTATTCTCGATGCCAGGGTGACGAAACTGGGGTTACCAATAAAAATAACTTTTTTGAAGCCCTGGAGTGCCTGGGAAGAGGTAGATCCATAGCACTTTAAGAACCTGATGGAGAGCAATCCGAAGTGCCTGCATCAGGTCCTGCAGGCCAAAGGAGGACACATGGATTATTAAAATGCTTTTCTTTTACTTTAATTTATCTCTTCTGGAGATTCTTTTATTTTGTGACTGTTTTTTTTTTTCAATACAAATTGATTTTTTTTTTCTTTAAGTAAAAACCTCTTTTTTTAGTATTCCATTAGTCAAACTTTAAAATAATATAAGAAAATAAGATATAAAAAATACAATGTGTTTACTCTAACTTGAACCAAATAAATGAGAGAATCTCAAACATTTATGAGGTGGGCACTCTATTTTGCGTATCAGTGGATGGAAAGGAATTCCCTGAGATTTCCTGATTTTCCAGGGTTTTTTTTAGGTAGGTCGAAATACAAAATATCGAATGAAGCTGAAAATGAACCCATTCGACCATTTAATAAAGATTCCTCACCAACACTGTGTGAATTTTTATTTTAAAATTCCCGGTTTTTTTTCCCGGTTTTCCCGGTTCAAATCTTAAAAAATTTCCGGTTGTTAATATTCAACAAAAACCGAAATTTTACGCATAATACTTAACTGCAAATTTTCGGAGGTTATTTGTGGGAAAAATAAAAGCAAAATTACAGGAGTATTTGTTAAAGTTGTAAGTATAAATTCAGCTCTATGAGTCACTTAATGTATTCAAAACAAATCATTAATCTTTCGAGATACTTTAAAAAATCATTTTTTTATCACTTTTTATGCTCGTACGATGATTGCAAAACCCTAGAATTTATTGAGTAACAGTGATATAGGTCACTAGATCAAATGCTATCTGGATGAATAGGTTATAAGACAGAATTGTGAAAAAAAGAGATTTAATTTAAAAAATGTTTCAGGAAAAAAATTACTTGATACACATGAGAATTAGAGGAAAGTTTTAAGGATATCGGAAAGAGAAAATGTATCTTAACTCCGTTGTCTGTACTAACATAAATATTAACCTTTCAGTACTCGTGCTAATGTACAAAGTTAAACACGAAAAAAATATGTAAAACCTACTTACGTTGTAACTCGCTCAACGTGAAACTAAACATGGTTCATTAAAATTCATACCTGGACGTAGGTATTAGACCAAAAATAAAAGAATATTACTGAAAGGTTATTTACTGAAAAGAATTAAAAATAAGGAAGATTCCCAAGACTCTGGGGCTTTTAAATTTGTGTAGAGTCAGAGTCTGAAGCTAGAACTGGTCTTCAAAATATGTGATGAATAACAACCCTCGTAATGCAAGATTTGTAGAAAAATTCTCGGATTTGAAAAAAAATTATACTTATGAATTGTTGAACCATAATTGTCAAGGCTCTGAGACTTGGAAGCATTTTAACCCTCCGTTACTCGCACTGTTGTACTTTGTACAACACACAAAGGTTTTCCATTGCCCTTTTGTTGCTGAGTAACCAATCGATCTAAAACCAACGAGTATTCCTCAAAAAACTTGATTTGATCTAAACAAGCTAAACTTTGATTACAGTAAACATCTAAAAATGCGGATAATAGGGAAAATGTAAATGGAAACCGCGTAAACTGTGACCATACTACGTGGGATTTGACTTAATTGGTTACAACATGGAATATATCGAGATCCTGACCAAATAGAAAGTTACTGTCTCCGGCAAAGTTTTTCAGGAGATCATAGCCTTGTCACTGGCGGACAGTAGTTTAAAATTTTTCTCGCTACGTTGCGCTAGTATACATGTTAAGTTCTCGTATGTGATATATCTCGAGATCCTGACCAGATAGAAAGTTAATGTCTTTCACAAAGTTTTTCAGGAGGTCAAAGCCTATTGCTTGGTGCTCAATAGTTCAGAATTTGCTCACTACGCAACGCTAGTATATACGTGAAATTCTCATATAAAATATCTCTAGATCCTGACCAGATAGAAAGTAAATGTATTCTACAAAGTTTTTCAGGAAGTCAAGATCTTTTTGTTGGGTGACAATAGTTCAGAATTTTCTCACTATGCGGCGCTGAAATACGTGCCTTTCTCGCATATTCAATAGCTCGAGATCTTGATCAGCTAGAAAGTTACTGTCAACGACAAAGTTGTTCAGGAGGTCAAGGTCTTTTGGCTGGTGCACAGTAGTTCAGAATTTTCTCACTTCATGGTGCTAGTAAACATGTGAAATTCTCGCATATAAAATATCTCAAGTTCATGACCAAATAGAAAATTACTGTTGTCGGAAAAGGTGTTCAGGATATCACAAAATTTTTGCTCGTGGACAGTTAGTGAAATGTGAAATTCTCGCCTGTAATATATCTCGAGATCCTGACCAGATAGAAAGTTACAGTCTTGAACAAAGTTGTTCAGGAGGTTAAAGCCTAGAGTTTGTGAGAAAATCCAGAACTACTGTTCATTAGCCAAAATACCTTGACCTCCTGAACAACTTTGTTGTAGACAGTAGCTTTCTATCTGATCAGGATCTCGAGATATAGTATATGCGAGAAGTGTACATGTATACTAACGCCACGTGGTGAGAAAATTCTAACTACTGTTTACCAGCTGGTACGATGGTATTTTCCGTGCGTAGTACACTCCTAGACATACTCCCCACCCTGAAATTCCGGAATTTCTGAAAAGAAAGAAATGGACCTCTTCGAACACAGGATGGGTGGCTGCTGATCGTTTGACGTATTAAGAAATGTCTACAGGTGGTTGTCGCGAAGTTGGTAACATACAAATCTTCTCTACGGGTCTCTTCAGCAATCCAGTGGCGGTTTTTAATGTGACGACTCTAACTACATCGTCTGCTCCTGGGTGAGTATCCTGTATGCGACCCATTCTCCAACGAAGCGGCGGTGTATTTTCCTCCTTTATCACCACGAGCTTTCCTACAGATATTGGAATGGCAGGTTTCCATCTTTTGACCCTTCCTTGTAATTGCGATAAATATTCGCTTTTCCAACGTTTCCAAAATAACTGGAGTTTTTGCTGAATGAGTTGCCAACTATGCAGTCTGTTCATTGGTACATCGGTATAATCTGGATCTGGAAGCTGATGCAAAGGTCCGCCCACAAGGAAATGACCGGGTGTTAGAGGTTCTAGATCGGTTGGATCATCTGACATAGGTGTCAGAGGTCTAGAATTCAGACATGATTCCACCTGGGTTAAGAGCGTAGAAAGGTCTTCGAAAGAAACAACGGTCTCGCCTAGAACCTTCAGCAGATGAATTTTTGCGGATCGCACTGCCGCTTCCCAGAGCCCACCGAAATGTGGTGCACTAGGCGGATTGAAGTGCCAATTTATGCCTTCCTTTGCGCATTCGTCCACCATTTTCTTCTGATGATCCTTGCTGTTCAATAGCTCAAATAGTTGTTTGAGTTTGTTACGGGCCCCAACAAAGTTGGTTCCGTTATCGGAATATACATCCGTACAGCGCCCTCGCCTGGCAATAAACCTCCTAAATGCCTGCAGGAATCGGTCCGTCGATAGGTCAGTCACTAACTCCAAATGAACTGCCTTGGTGCACATACAAACAAATAGTGCCACGTATGCCTTCACCGCTGTCCTTCGAGGGCCCGGCCGGAAATAGACGGGTCCGAAGTAATCGACTCCTGTCCTTGAGAATGGTCGAGCTACGGTCACACGAGCGGCTGGCAGTTCCCCCATAAACTGCTCAATTGCGTTAGGTTTAGTACGGAAGCATCGTAAGCAATCATGTACAACTTCACGTGCTACGTTTCGACCTCCCAACGTCCAGTACCGTAGCCTTAAGTTTGCTATAAGCAGCTGTGGTCCAGCGTGCATGAGTTTGTGGTGGTAATGTTGGAAGAGCAATCTGGTCAGAGGATGCCTTGCTGGAAGTATGATTGGATGCTTGGTTTCATCAGATTCTTGGGAATGCTCTAGTCTTCCTCCAACTCGTATCACGTTGTCCCTTGACAATTGTGGATTGAACCAACGAAGTGATGAGCTCCTTGCTACCGGTTCCTTCTTGGTTAGCGCCTTCCATTCCTTCTCGAACTCCTCACGTTGTACACATCGTATGACAGCTATTTCCGCCTTACGACGTTCCTCTGCTGTTGGAAATTCGGGAAATGTCAAACTATTCCTTGGTTTCCTCAGTATTTCCATGAAACGTAATATATATGACGTACGACAGACCATATCGGCGAATGACGAGAACCTTCTAACATACGTGGTTCCAAATCCCTCTGGTTTCGATGTAGCAAAGTGCACAGTAGATTTACGGATCTCTTCTTCAACTTCATCGGAAACTATCTCTGCCGATTGGTTCGGCCAGCAGTCCTGCTTTTGTTTCAGCCAAGACGGGCCTTCCCACCATAACTGGTTGTCTCCAATTTCCTCTGGTAACAATCCTCTTGAAATCAGATCCGCTGGATTCTCCACTCCTTGGACGTGATTCCACATGCAGTTTTCTGTTGCGTGTTGAATTTTGGCTACTCGATTGGCGACGAAAGTAGTCCACGTTGAGGGAATCGCCTTCAACCATTGTAGCACACAAGTAGAATCTACCCAGAAGAATGTTTCTGTCTCGATCTTCAATGAACTCAGCACCTTCTCCTTCAGTTGTGCTGCTAGCAGAGCTCCACATAGCTCTAACCTAGGGATCGACTGCAATTTCAATGGAGCGACCTTAGATTTCGATGTGAGTAGTGCCACAAGGCAGTTTCCCAAGGCGTCAATGCTTCTCACGTACGCACACGCTCCATATGCTAATTTGGAAGCGTCGGAGAAGAAATGCAGTTGAACGGATGTTGCCTTCGGCAGTACAATGCAACGCTGAATCGCTATCTCGTTCAATAGCGGAATTTGTCGGTGAAACCTCAGCCATTCCTCACATTCCTTGGACGCCAACTGTTGATCCCAGCCCAGTTTCCTTCCTTCTTCATCCATCAAGCACCATAGACGCTGCATGAAGATTTTTGCTTTTACTATCACTGCTCCGATTAATCCCAGCGGATCGAATAGAGTTGCGATCATTGATAATAATTTTCGTTTCGACAACTGCTCATTAGGACCGACCTCAGGGATTTTGAATTCGAATTTGAAGACGTCACTTGTTGGTAGCCATAACAGTCCCAAACTCTTCACAGCTGGATCTGGATCAAGCTGTATCCCTTCCTTCGACAACGCCAGATTGTCCTCCGGTATGCCTTCCAGCACAGCAGCTGAGTTAGAGGCCCATTTCCTCAGACGAAATCCTCCGCTCTCCATCATCTGATCGAGCTGAATTCGTAGCTGCTTCGCGGTATCCTCATCATCCTCACCCGTCAAAACGTCATCCATGTAGACGTCTTGCATGGCTGCCCTTGCTGTCATGGGGAACCGCGTTTTTTCATCCATCGCCAGCTGTTTGAGAGTTCGTGTTGCTAAATACGGTGCTGGCTTCGTACCGTATGTAACCGTGCAGAGTTCGTAGGTTTCGGCTCTTTCGTTGAAATCATTGCGCCACAGTATGCATTGGAATACCATGTCGAACCAGTCTACCCAAATCTGACGGAACATCTTTTCCGCATCAGCTACCATCAGAATTTGCCTGATCCGAGATCGCAGAATTATAGAACGTAGATCGTCCTGGATTACTGGCCCTGCCAGCAACGCATCGTTGAGAGACACTCCTGAACTGGTCTTACAAGACGCATCAAATACTACTCTGACCTTGGTGGTGGTGCTGCTCTCCTTAACTACTGGATGATGTGGTAGATAACATCGGCTTGCATCTCCTTCTGCGGTCACGTCCACCTTGCGCATATGTCCTAACTCCAAGTATTCCTCCATGAATTTGTCGTACTGTTCTCGTAGCCTTGGTTCCCGAAGCAATCGTCGTTCTATCCCTTGAAGACGGCGGAATGCGATATCCCTTGATTCGCCCATCCTTGTTAGCACGGTTTCGTCCTTTGGGAGTGAGACTGTATACCGACCATCTGTACCACGTCGTACCGTACGACTATAGTGCTCCTCGCACCTTGCCTCCGTTGGTGAATAATTGTTCGGAGACTCGATTTCTTCGCAGGCCCAAAACCGAGTTAATATTTCCTCCAGACCCTCTGTAACTGCCATGTTACAGGAAAACCTTGGATTTGGATTATCAGTATTTACCAAACCAGATACCACCCAGCCAAATACTGATTCCGTTAGTGTGGGAAATCCATTTCCCAATTGGATTTCATTGCCTGTATTGAAGAAGGCGAAGAAGTACTGGATTCCGAGAATCATATCCACTGCCTTGGAGTTGAAGAATGCTGGATCTGCCAATTCCACACCTTCTGGAAATTCCCAACCTGTCGCCTGCACGTCTGTTGTTGGAAGGTTCACTGTTACCCTCGGTAGGATGAGGAATTCCATATCACGAGAGAATCCGGAAACTCGTGACTTAACTTTCGCCGTGATCTTGTGCCTTACCCGCGTATTGGATTGTCCTATCCCCAGAACGGATATATCCGAACGCCTTCGTTGGATATTCAAACGCTGACACAATCCTTCGGTCATGAAATTGCACTCTGACCCTGAATCCAACAAGGTCCGTGCAGGAAAACTGATCCCTTGATCATTTTCCACCAAGACGACAGCTGTAGCAAGCAGTACAGATGAAGATTGACGGCGTGCCATATTGGATGACACTGCTCCCATAGCCGAAGAAGTAGTTGGGTTTGGATTTTGCTCCGCCGTAACTGCATTGCTATTATCTGCTTGGGTAGATTTTTGTGCCGCATTCCCTTTTGTTCCATCGCTCCTTTCAGATCGGAAACAGACCATTGTATGATGCTTCGCCTTGCAGTTTCGACAAACAAAGCGAGATGAACATTCGGAAGCCTGATGCCCACGTCTGAAACAGTTGCGACAAAGCGAGTGATTTCGAAGTAGCTTATCTCGAGCGGACACCGTTAAACGTTGGAAGGACGGACATTGGTATAGGAGGTGAACTTCTGAACAAGCCACGCATCGACCACCAGATGCTTGTACTACGTTATGACTTGTTCGTGCGACGGGGAACTTCTTCTTGGAAAATGCTGCCGAATCTCCCTTAAGTTCGACAGGCTTGGATGGAAGCGAACTCAAAACCCGAACCCGTTTTTGGAGAAATTCCGTTAGATCCTTAACGGAATCTTGATCCTTGGAAGCTGAATACTCTTCCCATCCTCGGCGCGTCACAGGATCTAGTCGAGACCCAAGAATGTCCAATAACAGCAAATCCTTGTAGTCCTGCGGTTGAACAAGCTGATCCAGGTTCTGAATAATACGCTCGAATCCTTCCAACAAGGACTGAAGCTCGGACACTGACTCCTTAGCCAACGAAGGTAGCTTGAATAACGCTTGGACCTGGCGGCGCTTAAGTAACTTGCTGTCGTTGTAACGTTTTGTTAGTGTTTCCCAAGCCACTTGATAATTCGCCTTTGTAATGGACAGCGGATCTACCAAAGCTTTGGCTTCACCACTGAGGCATCCCTTCAGGTAGTGAAACTTCTCGACATCGGGTAAATCAGGTTTCCAGTGAATCAACGAGGTATACAAATCCCTGAAGCTCAACCACTCATCGATGTTGCCGTCAAAGGTTTGCAACTTGATTTGTGGGAGCCGAACGTGTTCTAACGTAGACTGCGTTACGTCCAAAACGCGAGATTGATTTAAGGCGGGGACCTCTTCTAATTCCTTTGCTTTCTCCAACAATGAAGATTTTACGTCAAAGTAGTGATGAATGAACTCTGACCTCTCCTTAGCGCATTTACCATCTTCACCGGAATAATCTTCATGCGATTCTATGTCAACTATAGCCTCATTAACATCCTCCCATAATTCTTCTAACTTTTCCAACCTAACTGACACCTGAAAAGCTGAAGTTTGCTCATCCATTGACTCAGCGAACTTATAGATTTGCTTGAACATCTCTAAGAAGGAGTTGAGCCGGGTTTCCAACGGCCTGAGGGATTGCTCCTTCTTCGCTGTAGTCGTCCTCGGCATCGTGCAGCAGAATTTGTTCCAAGATTCAATGAAAAACGAAAGCAGTTGTAGTATTCCGTATTGACTTCTAGCCTCGGCTAGACATACACTGTAGAGCTAATTACCTTCACAACAGAAGACTGTTTCCCCTCTACAAGTATGTACAACGGTCCAATGGAGTAAATCAACGCTTATACGTCACGCATACGATAGGTCGTCAGTCAATTGCCAGTATCAAGGTTCGCGAGGGAGAAATAACCATGTAGTAAGCAACCAAATCCCATGCCTCGGCTGGGCATATACTGCTACATTAATTTTACCTGGGAGAATAATTCACGATACTGGTATTGCAATAAAACAGAGTGCCGGCTATTCACGGGATCACAACTGTTGTTCCTTAATGCGTAGAACGTGCTGAGAATGCTTCGGTGCGCCCCTCGAAGACACGTCCCACAAAATCAAATGTTCGATATCGCCCACGCATACACAACCATACATCAGTGTTCAAAGAGGAATAGAAAGTGCCAAATGTAGTTTCGGTAATGGTCCAGCATCGGCTGGTCATATACTAATTAGTGCGATAAGTGTTATTTTTTAACTGACCTGTGCAACTAATTCCGTCGCGTGATGACCAGAGGTGCAATGCGATGCATTCGCAAGTGTTGTTGGTGGGGTTGAATCTCGTGATGATGGTGAAAGCGATTGAAGATTGAAATGCAATCGTTTACCC